TTTTGATCTAAATAAGATTAGCTCATTCTAATTACTAATTTAGAACGAATTTATCTGTTACAGTATCTGGTATTTTTGATAGTTGGCAAAATACATAAGCTTAATTAATATTTGGCGTAAAGTTAATATTATGTAAGGTTAAGCATTGCTTTTCTTTTCAGGGCCATACATAAATTCACATTATTCATTACCACGAAATTGATTATCGCTTAAGTTGTAGCGATTATCTATAACTATCACAAGTAGGATCGATGTACCAGTAAAAATGTTTACATCTTAGCTTTATCGCTTATTAAAAAAAAAGAATTCTCATTACACTTATCTTAATCCACATGAACCATTTTATGATGCTATAATAATAGGCAGGTTTATTTTTTGCAATAAGGATATCCCAGTTATTTGATTCTTCAAAATTAACATTAAAAAATTTTATTATCGAAGAGAAATCAATAACTCATAGATCATTTAAAGTTGGTGAATCATTACCTGTTAAAGCCAAGCCAGTGCTTCAATCTCTAGGAGTTCTTGAAAAAGTGAATAATGCACTATTCAAGGTATTTTTTAATAATATTTTACTATTAAAATAAAGTTTAATTCTCAATTATTATTCATTACACCTTTGCGTATTATATTCCTTATTTCTCATGTTAAGGGAAGCATCTCTTTTGCTACGGCAACAACTCTGCATGGGGTTCCAATAATCTAAATGGCACTGATTCCATATTCAATCCATATGGAAATGGATTCCATTTAGATCGTTCATTATTTGAAGAAACTTTATTGAAAATTATAGAATCACAATATGGGCATGTTGTCAAAGTTATCATGGATTTAATGTTACCAGTTTACATTTTAATTTTAGAGGTGATTTCGCAGAAGATAAAAATGTTGGGAAATTACAATTTCGAAGTGCCCGAGTTTGAATAATGATTGTAACAAATTTATTTACATATTAACATTTAGCTGTATTTACTGTATTTAACGACAGTAACATTTTATTTGATGTATATTTTCTGGTTATTTCTGGTTATTTTTAAGTTTGTTCGGGTTTATCTTAAAATTGGGAATTTTGGTTTAAATTGTTTATTCTAACATTTTTATATATAGTACTTGAACGTTCGTACAGTTCTGGTACAGGTCCCCCAAAAATTTTTATCAATTTCATGGTGTATTTATAAAAAAAAGGATGTGTAAGGCTTTAAATTTTTTAAATAAATATTGTGAAAATATTGTCTTTATTTTTGACAATAAATAAATGATAAATCAGTAAAAAAAAAATCAGCACTGATTCGTTTCACATCCCTATTTGATTTAATTGGATCGACGATCCTATTCATTTATTCTGAAAAAGGCACTTAAATCTCATCATATTTCGAGGAAACTCGTATATTTCCGTTTTATTAATCAATAAGACTTATAAAATAAGACGAACATAAAGTAACTATCTATGTTGCATTCCCGGACTCACGAGACTCGAAATTTTTTTATGCAAGTCGTCGATCCAAACAAATCGCATTTAATTTTTCTTTTCCTCAAACATGGTTATTTGTCGTGGCGCCAATTATGTAAATTGATTTTATTTTTAATTTGTCCACGTTTCATAACACGTAAGTATGTTGTGGTAATAATACAATGTGATTTGCTTGGTAGTTAATTAAAATTAATTCAATCCTAACTATCTCTACCGCCTAATTCAAAGTTCGTCTTTTTGAACGCAATACGAAATTCTGAAATCCTTGATAGGTAGTTATTACGATATTCTCTAAATCTGTAACTATTGCGACATGATTGCCAAATCTGTATCATTCGCATATGATTATTAAATCTATCAATACAGTACTCTTAATTATCCGGCAGCTTACTATGATAGTGACGCCAAAATAACTCGAGTTATTTGGCAGTGATACGTCATCTGCCAAATAACTTCGTTATTTGGCAGTTTATGTAATCACTGCCAAAACTCGAGTCATTTAGAAGCACAATCGTCGTAAACCACCGGATAAAACCGTTATTGAATGCTACGCTACCCAATAACTCCTATGAATTATTTTACAAATAATTCTCGTTATTGGCTGCTTCGCATCCAATAACTATATATTATTTAGTCATAAAATAATGTACACACATTTTATCGTCGATAGAATTCTCTATTAAATATAACTTCTCTTTTCTTTCACTTACGTGTCAAATTACCAGAGTGTAAGTACTGTATTTAGTTTATTCATAAAATAATGCACACATTTTATCGTCGATATAATTCTCTATTAAATATTACTTCTCTGTTCTTTCACTTGCGTGTTAAATTACCAGGAAGTAAGTATATAATTAATTCATAAAATAATGTACACATTTTATCGTCGATAGAATTCTCTATAAATATTACTTTTCTATTCTTTCACTTGCATGTTAATTACCAGTTTGTAAGCATATCTTTGCAGAAACCTTGATTTTTGCTAAATATTTTTGCAATATAACTATTATATATTGGCCAATTCTTTTGACCCGGGTTAAAGAACTTCCCCTGGATCGCCACCAAAATACTAATAAAATTTTTTCGATCACGTGAAACTATCCAATAATAAATCAC